GGAGGGGGCGGACACGTCAGCCCCCGCATTGGCTTGGGCTGGAGACGGGGGCGGGACATGGCGGAGTTGGGGGCGGGCAGAGGTTTAAATAAGCCACTCTGGAGCTAGGACCCAGAGCCCACCTAGGAAACTGCAGAGAAGGAAGGTGGCAGCTGCAGTAGCAGCGAGGGTCCGACTGTCTGAACCCGGACTGCGAGTGGATTGCATCTGAGCCCTCCGTGGTCTATATCTGAGTCCCCGTCGTAGTCCTGAAGGTGCCTGTGTGTGAGTGGGTGAGTGTACAGATGGAGGGCCGCACCCTCCATGGATGAATGGGCCTGCCCCAGATGGGGCACAGATTAGGGTGCAAAGACCCTGTGGCTGCGAGTAAGTTTCGGCCCGGGTCCCTTCTCCCTGTGACTTACGCGGCCATCCGGGTCTCTGGTCCCTCAGACGGCAGATCCGTCGGGATGACCCTGAACGGCAGTGGCGCCCGGGGCACAGGCGGGAGCCGCGCGGGCACAGACCGCGAGCGACGTCGGGGCAGCACCCCTTGGGGCGCGGCGCCCCTGATGCACCGCCGCAGCATGCCCGTGGATGACCGCGACCTGCAGGCGGCGCTGACTCCTGGCGTCAGGGGTGCGGGCTTGGCTGGCTCCAGCAGTGCGACCCAGGGTGCCAGGCTGGACTGGGCAGAAGGCTCTTCGGATTCGCTCAGCTCAGGAGGCAGCAGCTCCGAGGAGAGCATATACAAAGTGCTGCTGCTGGGGGCCTCTGGCGTGGGCAAGAGCGCCCTAGCGCGCATCTTTGGTGGTGTAGAGGACGGCCCTGAAGCAGAGGCTGCAGGTAAGGGGACAGGCTGTTCAGGGCAGGGAAAAATCTCACGATTACTAGGAAGGAAGGAAAGGAGTGTAGTGAGGCTAGGAGCTGGACTGAATGGGCAACACCACGGTATTCCAAATGCACTTTCAGAATCATGCCTCTGCCTTCCCATTTCAAGATGGGGAAACTAAAGGAAACGGGACACCACCCCTACACCCCACGTGCCCAGAGGACCCGAGGCTTGACTGTGACTGCTCTGTGGCATTGGGGTTGGACGTCCCTGTCTGCTGGGGTTGGCAGAAACACATCAGAGGGAGTGTCTAGGAGTGGAGCCCTAGGTGGCTAAGCCCCCTAAAGGTTGTGGCAGTCACTGTTGTAATTGAGGACACTTTGATCAGAGTCACCTTGGGGCCAGGCAGCAGGGAGGCAGGGAGCACTGGAGTGGACCCCAGGACACTGCTATCTTGGGGACCCGTGGGAAGGTCAGGCCCACCATGCCCTGCGCTCCCCAGCCCCCAGCA